TACTCACAGAGTAAGAGATACCCTGTCTGAAGCACATAATTTAATGGCATTGTCCAAATGAGCACTCAGCCCAACCTGAGTAAGATAAAATGTTTTGGCCTAGAGCATCCATACAACAAAAATATAGTCGCACATAGCACAACTGGGTCACCCCGAAGGAGGAAGGAAGCCAAGGTGCGCTGTCACTAGTGCTTTTTGATAGATAGCGAAACGGTGCAATTGGCAATTGAGTCACTTTGGTCACAGAAATTTGCAGGTCTTCACAATGTGGCTTGTACAAGATTCCTTTACTGCGAGTTGGTGCCCCTACCAAGCTGGAATTGAAGCCTCCCACCGTGACAGTCGTCCATTCCCTGGCTCAGAAAGCAGTAGACGATCAGAAAGGGCACAGCTTAGTCTCTCCGCCTGACCCCCTCACAGTCCCATTGCGCCGAGGCTGTGGAACAAATTAAAATCCCTACCCCGAATCGTACAATATTTGTATGAAGGAATTTCAAAATAGTCCTTAAACTAGCCTCCAAGAAGAACCAAGGAAACGATAAAGGAAAGGACCTGAAAATTCCTACCTTGCCTTCGTAATCGATGCACCCACGCTTTCAAATGAACACGTTCGTCTCGATGTTTCACACATTCCGAGATTTTTACAAGTGTGGCTGCAGGTAACGACTCATCCATTGAGAAAGTGATCTGTTAACAGCATTAAGTAGAACTAGAAAAGAAGCAGAGTAAACTATTGAAGAAAACAAAGCTCTAGAAATACCCATTGGCCCATTACACCCCTAAGAGCGCGTTCATACTTGGCTCCTACCGCGCGATAGAAGAGCTCGAGCGATCCAAGTGGTCGGGTGGCGAAGTGTGAACGCGCTCTAAGACGATCATCTGCTATCTCGCAAACCCGAGTGCTAATCTGGGAAGCAGGGCTGACAAGGATAATACTAATAGAAATAGGTGAGAAACTGAGAAAAAATAGTGCTATAAACTATAGCCCGCACCAAACTACATGAATGGTCAAAGAAGTACAAGTGCTGTGAGTAGGAAAGCGAAACGAAACCTTTTTGGCTTCTTCCAGAGCAGCGTGAGTAGCCGCTTCCTGTTCCTTCGCTCGTCCAGCAGCTTTTTCCGCTTTCTTCAATTCAGCTTCATATCTGAGAGAAAGTGAAAAATGGCGAAACACTACAGCATAAAGGGAAACCAACTTTTTCATGGTATTACTTCTTGATGGAGCTACTTGCGCGGTGGTTCGGCCACAACGATTTTCGAAGCCGTCCTCCTTCACGGTTCGGACCAGGAATTCGCCAGAGTTCTTCGATAACATCATGGCCTAGAACATAATGGGATGCCAAGTGATACGAACAGAGCTGGAAAAGTCAAAAGCAAGGAGGGCGTGTTCGGCTAGGTGAGGACATGAGGGTGTAGCTCGGCTCAGTGGGGGCCCCAAATGATAAGCAGCGAAGCCTATACAGGCCACCCGCGTGAACACCCCCTCCGTAAATTCTTGCAACCAATGGTCCGCTTGCTCCTTTACAAGAGTTAGCAGGTCTCTAAAAACGACCTGCTATTTACTATGAATTAGCAAAAGAACCTGCAATGTTGCCCTTCCAAGCCGAACAGCGCCGAAATAAGAAGAAGCAAGTGAGAAAAACCTGGAAAAGCGTGCTCAGAGGTCGTTCCTCGGTACCGTCATTTTCGTCTGAACCAGTGTCAGGACAAATGTACAGCTTAGTCATGATGGAATAGGCTCCTAGCTAGAACTATGTTCACCCTGCAAATAGTACTTTCTAAATTGATGACTTGTTTATTTAGGAAAAAAACCTGCGGAATAACTGAGAAGATTAATGGAGAGAAGAACAGTACACTACATATCATTGGAGGTGGGGAAGGCGTGGCTGCGCACTTTCATCTGAACATGGTGTGGGATGCAGATTGGGATATATCCGTTTCGAATAACTGTCATTCTGTTCTGTGTTAGAGAAAGACATGATAGAATTAACCCACAGCAACATAACACCAAAGTTCGGAGCCGCCTTCAAAACGATCAGGCAGCCACGCCCTTCTCATCTCTGAGATATTTAATGTGATGAACAGAGAATACAGCAAAAATCAAGTTTCTTCTGGAACTTGCGACAGTATGGAGCAGATTTTACAAGGTTTAGTGCGATATACACAATATTTAG